GCCGATCGAGAGCGAGCCGAACGTTTCGAGTTCTGGCACCGGAGGCGGGGGGATTATTTTTAGAACGAGTGAAAATCGAAACGCGCGAACACACGAAGGATAGTCGGTACCGCTAAGCGGTGTTACTCAATCAGAGGCGGTGGCCGTTGCTGAAATGAAACCATGGGTTGCAAACCCGTTTCAAGGGCAGGGTCGCGAGAATAATGGTGACGAGCGAGATTGAAGTTAAAAAAAAAAAAAAAAAAAAAAAAAACAAGGAACATCGCCTCGTTCCTTCGAAGTGAACTTCATGGAAGAGAGAGAGTGTATATATAGGGTGATCTTGGAAATCGATTGGTGATTCTTTCGATTTTTCAGTTAAATATTAATATTAATTTTGACCGAATTTCATTCCTTGAATTTCTTTGATATCATTAAGATGGGAATGTAAATGGAATGATGAAGGTTCGATTCGAGATTAAGTTTGGATACGAAAAAAGATGATATTTAAGATATTTTTCTTTCCTGATCAAATATTCAGAGTCCATATAATTGAAGAAATATTAATCCTTGTAATTAATTTTTGTATATTGAATTTTAATTCTTATTCAAGAAAATATAATACTCTACATCGTCTCGTTCCTTCGATACCTTGCACAACTCAGAGAGAATCTATAAGATGATTTTGAAAACATAATGGATATTTGATTTTTCGAATATGAGTATTGAATATTAGTATTATAATGAGAATATAAATGGAGAGATGTGGATGTTTAATTCGAGATTACTGGGAGTCCATAATTAAGAAAATATTAATCCTTGTCCCTGATCTTTATATATTGAATTTGTTTAATTCTCATTCAAAAAAACCTTTATATAATTATTATTTGAATTATCGACGAGCGAGATTGAAACGAAATGAAAAGCAAGGAACATCGTCTCGTTTCTTCGATACTTTGCTCTAAGAAACCTTTATATAAAACTTATGATTTGAATTATCGACATTCGATTGAATTTTATTTATTAAATACGTACGTAATTAAAATATAAGATGTCTTATCAGAAAAGGAGATCATTTTCTTTACGGATACTTTATATTCATAGCCGATATAATTCTCGCACGTGTTCGGTTTGCACGGTCTCTCTCTTCTTCGTCATCGTTGACCCATGACAGGATACATAAATTCCCGTTAATAATTTCTCCGATATCACCGGGTCATCTTCTTTGCACTCGGAATGAAAAAGAAAAGAAAGAAAAAAAAAAAAAAGGAAGAAACGGCAGACGAAGCCGATTAAATCGTATTTCTGGTTTTATATCGATTTATAAGATTATTAAGATTTTAATTATTGTTATGGTGATTAATTATTGTTCCTTGATAAATAATCATTAATTATGATTACTTAATGATCGTTCGAACATGATTTTAATTAATTAACCGATCTGTCCATTTCACGCATATTCATCTATCCTTTGTGATAACTATTCTATATTATTAAACGATAATAATATTATAATATAAAATAAATAATATAAATAATATATAATAATAAAAATAAATAAATAAATAAATAAATAAATAATATAAAACAAACGAATAATATTTCTGAGTGACTCTGAATTCAAACGAATATTTACGATACAATACGATCGTTAAATTCTAACAGATTTTTACCTTATCAATATTAATTGTAATATATTTATAAATGACGTTGTTGTTACAATTTTTGTTTGAATTTGAAATAACGATAAAGATTGGAATTAGAAAGAGGAAAAATCATAGAGGAAAAATTTTTCCACGGAATTTTTCTAATTCTAAAGGAGGATATGTTTTTGCCCACCAAATACGAGTGAAACGACTTGTCATCTTCGAATCTGTCAAGCTTTCTAATACTGAAATATTAACGCGCTTATTGAATTAACAACAATTCAATAATAAATCAATAGAGACAGACTATCTTTTCTTTCTACCTCTTCATAGAAGTAGTCCTTGACATTCTACAACTTGCTCGCAACAATATTCCACGCGAGAAGAAGACGAAGCGAAATAAAGGAAAGGAAAAGTTTTTATTTTGATTTATAGGATTTCGAATCGGGATCGCGTTTTTAGAACGCAAAACGTGATCTATCTAATGAAATAAATATCGCCCCGCTCTTTTAAGGATTCAGATTCATCGATCCCTGATTCTTCATTAAGTCGCATGATTAAACTAGATCGAATGAAGTTAAATCCGGTCTGTGACGTGGTAAAATTTATTCATAAATTCACAGCCACCGATACACTCACGCTCGTTCATTTGCATTTTAATTTTCCATCCCCTCCCTTTCCCCCTCCCTTTCAATTTTTTTATTTTTACTATCACTTTAATTAATCATAAGGACGAAGAAAAAAAATAAATAAATAAATTGAGCGATAGAACGAAGTGAGAAATGCGTATCGAAATTATAAATTCGAGGAAAATTGAAATTGTTCTTTTTATAAGGTTTCGTTTGTTCGACAGATATGATACGCTTGTTTGTTGGGTTTTTCCGTTGTTAAGAAATAGATATAGGAGTATGATCGTGATAATTTTTGTAACCTGTTTCAGTAACAGATTATTTGTGCAAGAATTGTAAATTGTTTGCTAAGATTTTTCTTTTCTTTTAAATTTTTTATCACGATACGAGAAAATCGAACGATTCGCATTAATAATTTAAAGAAGACAATTCGAAACAATGTATTTTTTTCTAAAATGTCTCCCGGAATAATTTCTACTCGCTATTTCTAAAATTCGCATAAAACTTTTTACGAAATATTCATGTAATTACTTAGTCGATATCTAAACAATCATTTATCTCGATTATTTGTTACAAATTAACCTTATTTTTTATCTACATATATATATTTCTCGAAGTTGCTAACGACAGTATAAGAAATAGGAGGTGTCGCGCAAATATTCGATCAAGAATTAATTAGAGCTTGATTTTAACGATTCATCGCGCACAACGTGTTAAAAACCCATTTGTGAACTGTAACGATACGCGTTTCACTCACGAAAAATAAAAAAATATGGACTAACGACGTGAAAGTTTCATATGCATAGAACGCCAAGTTCAAGGCTGAAGAAAAGATAGATTTTTGAAAAAGATTGTCAAAAGAAAATGAAGAAAATAATAAAAAAAGAAAAAACAAGAACATAATTTACAGTTATACTCGTGAGTCACATATGGATTCATTTCCTCGACCAACATCCGCGTCTCGGATGATTGCGGACGTTTGAAATTACCCTTAATCTCTTGTTATAAAAGTATGAACATCTAACGATGATTATTCGCGTTGTTCGAGGATGAATCAGATGAATCAGAATCTTGTGAGATCGGAATCGAACAAGCATTTCACGATATGAATCTATCTGGGAATAGAAGAGAAACGTTGCTCGCATGAATAAGTCGATTTCCGCCTCACAAGGTTTCCATTAAAGTTTTATTAAAGTTTGAAGAAATATTATATGAATAGAAACTATCTTCGTTTATGTTTGAAAAATGTTGAAAATTTTCAAATGTTAAGATTTAACTATTAAACATTGTATAACATCTTTCTATTTTCTAAATTATAATTATGGATTATTAGATGTTGGAATGAATAGTTTTGTATTTATTAGATTTGTATTTAATTCTATACAAAGTTGAAAAAGAGTATTCATTGAGGAAAAAGAATAATAATAATAATAATGTGTCTTCTAGTGAAATCTTTTAAAAGATTTTATCTCTGATTAAAATGTTCAGAGGTGCAAAGCAACATAAAATTAACACTGATGATATATTACAGATTTATTATTTCTAATGAATCTTTCAAGAATAAATCAAAAAATACAAAAAATATTTAACAATAAATAAGAAAGCGTGACGAGCATTGCAACTAAAGTCTTCACGCTTCGAATTACGATTTTAGACTGATTTATGATATGGTAAGACACACAAATGTATAATGGAAAAAGAAATAGAAAGAAAAAAGGATATAGAAATTAAATTGTAATTATAAAAGTAAACATACTTTTATATCAAATCACACTATAACTAGAATTGATAATTTCTATAAAATGTTTTCTTAAAGTGAATCAATATAATAATATAATCAAATTTTAATTATTATCAATTACCTATTTATATATATATATATAAATTAATTATAAAAAATATTCTAATTAAAATAAAATATCTAATTTAAATTATTTCAATTCTAACTTTTGTAATTTATAATTTTTAAATTAAATAAAAATACAATTATTATTTTTCACAAATTCAGAAAAATAAATTATTTAACTCTTTGATACTCTATAAAACATAATAAAACTATATATTATTATGAAATTATTTTAATTAAATACCTTTTTCTCATGTTGATTCCTCATTTCAAACATCTTCTTCCGGGGTTGGAGGCAATATTCTTTTCATAATTTCGCGCCATTAAAGTAGCCATTAATGGAAGTCACGTGATATCCGTCTTCTTGTAGAGAAGATAGAATAAATTTGTGAATCGTTTAACACGATATTTAATTAAGCGGGTAGAGTGGTTAGTCTTGTTGAAAAGAAAGAAAGAACGGAAAAAAGAAGAAGAGAGTAATATCACTTTCAACCGCCGTAAACAGCTTCGCGTAAACGGTACGTATTATTTATTGTCCGGTGATACGATGACGACGTTCAAGAACGAGCCGATGTATTCCGGCTATATCGAAAAAGGAAGTGGCCGATGACTCGTTGACTCATCTCGTAAACTTGACTTACCATGTGGTCTAGAGTATCTGTTGTCTCACCTTCAGCCATGAATATTTATTGCACCACACAAAACAATTTGTTAATATTTTTTTCCCGCGTTCTCGAAGCACCATGCTGTCCGACACTACGCAACGACACTACGCACATGCGCGGGATTAACACTGCGCAACGGCGCGTCGCACATGCGCGGGGTCGATGCGCGCATGATGCGCGCGCATTGAACGAGAGCGTCCTTTTTCGCGCGATCGGCGACGCAATAAATTTCGACACTACGGACGGTTATCCTGACAGAAAGTAATTTGTCCATTAACTTTGTTTTGTGATTGTCTTATTGTGCGAGAATGTGTTATCAAGGAAAGAAGGAACATCAGTGTGAATAAATTTAACGTCGAGGTTCGTTCCCTGTGAAATACGAAGCATGATACGAAGCAGCCGGCGTTCAGTCCTTCAAGCTACACGGTGGAAAGTATACGAAAAGTGGGGGGACTATTGATGCAGTTCACTGCGTGAGAAAGTGAACATCGATCGAGGTATAGTATGGAGAAACTTTCGTAAAATTTTGCGATATACGCTTAGTTAGATTCGTTGGTGAATTACGTTAGGTTATGTTATGTTGCAGAATGGGATATCTAGATGCTAGGAGCATGCGTTCATAAAAAGAGAAGCTGTGGCACGTTGACCATTCCGAATCGGAATTTTCTACACTACAATCGTAAGGTAATACTGATTTATTTCGTCGTGTCGGAACACGTTGAGTAAATATAATAGTGTAGGGTGAAAGTGGAATCAATTGCGATAGGAACAGTTCTAAAACTGTTACATATTATTTTTTAAATTAGTATTCTAACGATGCGATAAATATCGTAAATTGCTGGAAGCGTTGTTGAAATGTGAGGGGTCAAATTATAGTTATTGCGATAATAATAGGGAACATATATAAAAAATATTATATATTAAAGTGAAATTACCTCAAATATTACATATAAAATATTAAATATTTAAATTTCATAAGGAAAAAGACTATATAAATAAATAATAAGCATTGAAAGAAACATATATATTAAATTCTTTTTGTTTTAATTATATCTATTGCATGCAAATATGAACAATTCCATTTCCTTTATTATAATATCCTTTATTATATATTTTTCTTAAAAGAATATATTATTCATTTTTATTTAAATGAATTTTAAAAGCTAATTAAAAATTATTCAAACTTGTTATGGAATAAGGAAAGAATAAGTAAGGTTACTTCATAAATTTTATCAGTTGTTAGTTTATTAAAATTAAAAATTCAATTATTTATAAAAAAAACTTTTGTTTGGTTGATCATAAAATATAATAAAAGCCATTTATAATGAAAAATAGATATATTACGTAGTTCAATTCATTTTTGAATTCAATGCTTTGGATGAATGCCAAACAACCTCTAATTTACACTACCACAGCAAATATTATATATAATAAATTGAACAGCATATGTATGAAAGGTAAACATAGGGCTTCGTTTACGACGCACTTAGTCATGTTCGACCACGTTCTCACTTTGAAATATTTGTAAATATTGCGCCTCGTGTGTGTGAAATATTAAAAACAATAGAAACTGACTCGCAATAAGAAGGTATTCTTAGAATATAGATTTTAAGTCTGTTTGAAAAAAGTTTATTTTCCTTATGAAAGATAAAATTTGTAATATATTTAATACAAATTCTTTCTGCTTTAATTTGAAATCTATATATAATTCATATTTTATAATAAATTTTATAATATATAAATTATATAATCTTTTAATATTTTAATTACATGTAGTAAATATGAAATTAAAATATTATATATTTAATAGTTATCTTGATCATGCAAATTCAAATTATACAATATTTGCTTTATAAATATTATACCAAATTATATCTTGTATTAATAATTTTCTATTTGAGGTAATTCACACAATAAGATAATTTTTTCATAATCTTATGAAAAAATTATAAGGAAATTTGTATTTCTAATACAATTATCAACAATAAACATTTATCCAAATAAAAAATATGATTTAAATAATCATTATTCATATTTTGTTTAAACAGAAAACAATGCCAGTGAAACAATGACTGTATCTACTAGTTTCTTTTCAAATATTGGATCAACATTCAGATTGAAGACAACGTATGGTGAGTTTCAATCCTTTATTTATTTTTATTCTCTGCAATTTCCAATTGCCAATAATATGCATGCCTCTTTATATAAAGTTTCGACACACGAAATACGTATATTATAAATCTATTTTATATCAAAAATTATCCATTTCGTTAAGTTAAATAAGATAGTTTTTAACATTGCAATATCTTTTCCTCGCATAAACTTTATAGTTTGATAGTTCAGGAAGTAATTAAAACTTGCTTATTAAAACTTTAGTATCCGCAAAAAATTAATTGCAAAATAACAACCGAGAATATAAGTTAGGGAACATGAAAATAATGGTATATTTATCGATATCAGAAGCTTTACTTATGATCTTCCTTCAAGATTCTCGATAAGAATTGCGTAATTTTATAGACACTTGTCCGATCTTTACATTGACGCGTTTAATTACTCAAATTTCTCACTATAACGCGAGCAATAGCTTAGATAACTTAGAAACTGAATTACGAAAGGATCGTTAAGCGCATAATTGCTGATCACGGGTACAGTCATGGTTTGTTACTGAACAATGTGATGAGATAATAATTAATCATTCCTAAGCATGAATAACTTTAACACTTAGAATTATAATAAACCGAGTAAAGTTGAGAAGATCAGATTTTTATTCTTACTATTATTAAAAATTTAAAATATATATATATATATATATATTTTCAAACCTGCGTCTCTACGAATCATAATCATCGCTCGTCCACGCGACAAAGCTTACCGCAAACGCGAAAGAAAATTATACCGTGCAGAATTCCCGATTTCCAAGCAACCGTTAATAATCGATAAAGTCATTAATCCTTAAAAAAAAAAAAAAAACCCCGAGGAATTTAAAAATCATACGCTGTGCCCAAAGATCACGGCGATTGCCCTCGAAACTCAGGCCCTCGAAATATCTCACCCCGCGATCCTCGGGAATGAACACGTCATGCGAGCGTACTGGAATCGATTTATCTTCGACACCCGATTGATTTATTGCCGATCGAGCGGATCTTATTTAGAAGCGGTATCGCGCTATAACCCTATCCACGATTCGTAAATCTTCGTAGATGTTCGGTAAGCCGATAAATCACACTGCCTGCAAACCGTTCCTCGCTTGATCCTCAAATTGTTTATAATACGGGCTATTAGCCGGTGTGTAATTGCGTCTCGGATAGATCGAGGGGAACTACATAAATCAAATCGGATCTTAGAGTTGGATAAAACGCGAATTCTCCTTTCTTTTTGTTAAAATGCGTGTAAAGGTGTTTTCGTTGGAGGGGACGGAGGGGATTCGAGCAGAAAGGGAGGTTTTTCAGGAGAAATGAATAATCGAAAGGAACGAATGAGTTTTCACGGGGAGAGGGGGGAAGAAACGAATGCTTTTTTCAAGGTGTTTTATGGGGTGTTTTGCGAAAGGGGGGAAAAAGTAAGGTTGTATGTCGTGGGTACCGGTTTATTTGGAAAGGATGATTGATATTATGCGAGGTTTTGGTGAATGGTAGGATGGCGTTATTTAAGGATGCGGGGTGTTGAATGAATGGCGGTTTGGATGAAAAATGAAACGGTAGAAAGTGTGGTGTTGGGTTAAACGCAGCTATGTAGTAGGTGAAATGAACATTTATTATCGGGTGAAGCAGGGGAGGGGTCGTGGTTGCACGAGAACTTGATGCACGTAATTTTAACTTGCGAGCGTGCAACAGTACATTGTTCACCGACAATGTGAATATCTATAATATATTCTCTTTTCTTTTCGTTCGTTCGTACTACGAAACAACCGACACGTATCTTTCTCCCGTTTCATCTCGATGAATTCACTGTAGAGGAAATAACACTTTGACGAGTCTCCAATATACGACTAACACTTCCTCTTCTCTCCGTCGTTCGAAATAACTCTATTTCTTTACCTCCTCCTTTACCAAGTAATTCTTAACTCTCGACGAGAGATCTCGACGAGTAAGTAAGTGAAGTCACGAAACAATCTACAATTCCCAAAATTATCACGAACGTTTCCTCCTCTCTCCCCCTTTTGCATCTTAATTACGTCTTTCGTTCCTTTCCCTCTCTCGCATTTTAATGCAGCCAAAAAAAAAAAAAAAAAAAAAAGACGCAAGAAAGCCACCGACCGAAAGAGAATCGAAGGACTCGCCATATTTTCACGCGGCAGCCTTATCGAAGCCGGCGACTTGAACGAATAAAAATTTATTCGAAGCGGTGCTTCCTCGGGGAAAATAAAAAATAAAAGAATAAAGAAGTGAAAAAAGAATAAAATAAAACGGATAAAATACCACGTCCGTATCTCGTCGCGGGTATAAATCCTTGGGTGGACACGGTCGATCCATGGTATACCCGGTGAGCATCAAAGAACGCAAAGAAATGTATTCGGCGCGATCGGATCTCTCTCGGTGCAGATTTATTAAGCCTCTCTTTTCCGTTCTGACGGCCCATAACTCGTTACCTCTTCCCTTGTCAATCCTCTCCGATAATTTTTTTAAAAATCGCATCTCACGTTAACGAAATTTTAACGTATTATTGTAGTTCTTGTCTGTTTGGAGGTTTGTAGAAAAAATGGGAAAATTTGGTTGGCTACGTGTTTAGGAATTGTAGATTTCTTGCTTACTATTGTAGATTGTTGTAGATTTACTTATATCAGATTGAATTTTGTTGGTTTTTTTCAGTTAGAAAGATTGGAGTGTATTGAACGAATATTAAAATCAGGTGAAATAATTAAGTAGAATTAACAAAATATTGGCAACGACAAGATACAATTTGATAATTGTTGGGAGTAAGAATTGCGAATTCAAAGATAAAAATTTTAACCTCTTATTGATTCTCTTGAAATTTGGGTACTTTTTCCAAATTTTTAAAAACGAAATTTTATTAATTCCAATCGAAGGAGAGGAACGATGAAACAAATTAAATAAAAAAAAAAAAAAAACGAAAATTACAAACGAAATGGCCCATTAACGTAACGTTAGGCATCAATTCATAGTTCAATTCATCCAATCGATCCAATTCATTACGCGTAACGAGTACAATTATCATTCTCGATAAAGAACGACATTAGATTAGGCGTCGAAACGGCATGGCGTTGTAACAAACAAGTGATGTTTTGAATTCACGGGGTTTGTAATCACGGGGTGGGCCGAGATCGTAATTCTCTAATTCGTTCCCGTGAGATTTACCGTGTCCGTGTCGGTGGACGCGACACAAAGAAACGTAACGCTGTAACGCCGTTAATGTTGAAGTTATGGCGACTGGTAGGGTTGTTAGGTAGCGAGGAGATAGAATCGAAACAGTACGCGTTTAGTGTAACTTATGTCCACTGTAAGTACCTAGCAGACCTAGTGTGTCTATTCAAACATTCGAGCTCTGAGCAACGTGAAAAGAATTTTGCCTGAGATGGGGGGGACCATTGTTTCTGAATATCTGTACGGTGATACTTTAACGTCGAAAGTTCGTTGAATTTTTCTTATATATATATATATAAGTATTGTTCTATATATTCATCATAAGTGTTACAGCATAGGTATTGATTCTTTAAACTAAACAATGATGAAGGATGTATCGAAAAATTGTTCTTAAAATAGGTGTTCGAATTTCGCGTCGAAAGTAAAAATGAATAATCGAAAGGATATTTTATTTTTAAATTCGAGTGGCGAGTTTAAAAAACCTATTCCGTTCTAAAAAAAGAAATTTTGATTTTCGCGTTCCTAGTCGTAATTTCTTAACACGTTGCGAATTTATGATTATTTTTCTACTCTAATTCTCTCCTAATTCTCTCGATCGCCCTTTCTCTCCGTTGAATATTGTTTGTACATATATATATATATATATATAAGGAACGCATGGACGTTAGCAGTCGATGGAATGAATGCGTTAACTGGCAATTTCCTCGCGGCGTGTTCTAGGAAATCGCGGCTAAATTACGTCTTTAACCTCAATGGACCTGATTCTTGAGTCGAGACTCGAGCGAATACTCGTAATTTTTATTCCTATTTTATTCCTATTGCAGTGGAAGTATGATGATGAAGGAATCTCTCTCTCTCTCTCTTTCTTTTCCCTGTCAAATTTGATCTTTTATTCCATTGACGTTGAAAATCGTGTCGATCGTTGAGTCGTAAAGTCCGTAGAATCGTAAATTTCACAGGACACTGTGGAAAAAGTGTGTAATTGGACGTATTTCATAATTATATAAAATAATATTTATAAAATAATATAATTCTTTTTAATGATTTCATAATGAAATGAAAAAGATCAAATTATTTTTCAGTTTTTTTTTTTTTTTTTTTTGTTCCTTTTATATTAGGTAACTTTTTTATGTAACTGACTTTCCTTTCGTTTTTTATTTCCTTGGAAATTGATATTTAATTTTCGAGTAACGTTACGACGAATATTTCGTAAGCTTTTTGTTAATTTCTTTTTTTCTTTTTTTTTTTTTTTTTGGAATATTATTATTTTTAAACACCGAAATTGTAATAATATTTCCGTTATACAATCGAGTTGCGTTTTAATTCATCATTTCCTCTTTCCACGATTGTATTTCTGTTATCTGATTAAGGGAAAAAAATATTAATAAAATATTATGAACTAAGTCGGTGTAGTGGTGGGTTTAATTTATCATCTCTTACAAGATCGTGGACGATAGATCGTAGATTGTATTCCCATTATCAGATTAGGAAAAAGATTTAAGAAATGAAGTTGGTCAATAGTTAATTCGATCAATTCTATGGAAATTTCACAACTTCTGTTCTATTAATTTCTATTAATCCAACATACTCGTGATCGTCGTGCAAAATGTAACTTGTCACGTTTTGACCTCGAGGCTTTCAATCATATGTACAACACGGTTAAATCACATTAGCCAACATAGTCTCTTGCGTGAGTAATTGCAACTCATGAGATTTAATGTGTTACTTTTGAAACCTTCGTGCCGCCTTAATCGAATGAAATTAAAATTCCTTTAATCCGTTTAACGATGCTTGTGCAATCTATTTTTTTC